TAACACAATGACCTGGGTCCTGGTGAAGGTGGAGGATGGGGCAGTTGTCCGACTGGGGTGGGTATGAGGAACTTCTCTAAGCATTGTGTAAAAACTTTGAATTTTCTTCAGCAAAGAAAAAAACCCCAAACAAATAAAAATGAAGAGCCTGGGAACACAGAAAGAGAACAGATATTTACACTCTTTTAGAGCATTGAAATGACACCCCCATAAACAGGTTACTAGCGCTGTTCACCATCTCTGAAAGTAGGGAAACTGTTCTTTAACTTCCTCATTAATAAATCCATTCATCTGATTAGCATTAATTATTTACTTGTGCCAGTATTACTGCTGGCCATGAAAAGCTAACAAAGAAAAGTAAGTTACAGCCCTTAGAAGACATTTATACAAAATGGTTACGGATAATAGAGATATGTAATTGGACAGTGTGGATGTTGAGCGCAAAAGAATACCTGGCTGCCTGTGGAGTACTGTGTACATACACAGATCTGCTTTGTTTACGTGAGCTCTGTACAGGTTGTGGACTTTAATCCTGATATGTCAACTGCATTGGGTGCAGGGGCTCCTAGCAGATGGATGGAGCGAGTCCCTGAGGGTCTGGACAGGTTACAGAGGTGTGGTCCTGATGACCACACCTGTCTGGTGCTGTCGCTCTAGGCTGCCACAGCCAAGCAGCAGTGCTCCCCTCGCTGTTCGCTGTGATGTTAGTGCCTGGGAGCCAGCTCACTGGGGACCAGATCCCCCCATCCAAATCTTGAGCTAAGTTAAATTTTTCCTTCTTTGGCACTGAGTCTCGGATATTGTGTGCAGCAAGGGAAAAGCCAACTAATTCACAGATACACGAAGAACTACGTCACTGAGCTGGTGTGGTAGAATGCTCTGGAAGGCTGAGGCAGGAGGCTCACGTTGGAACTCAGCAACTCAGCCTGGGAAATGTAGGGACTTAGCAAGATTCAGTCTCAAAAAACAAAACAAAACAAAACAAAAAAAACATACAAAACAAAACAAAAAAGCCCCACCAAAAAATGCTGGGCTATATCCCGTGCAAAAGCTCCAGGTTCACTTCCCTATACTAAAATACTACTAAATATTCTACTGTTACCACTACTACCACCACTACTACCAATAATAATATTGACCCTTATGGAACTTTAGGTGGCTCTTAGGTTTATATTAAAAGAGGAGAAGAAAATGTACAGTCAGAAAAGACTGCACTACAGAGTATAGAGTAAAATGTTTCACATTTTGGTCAGTTGCATGTAGGGATATGTTTTAGACATTTATTTATTTATCTTAAAGAGAACAAAATAACAAAACAGTTTCAAAACAAGTAAACAGTTCTCCCAAAGTTTCTCAGTTAGGGTGGTCCTTCTGAGAGTGTTCTACTGCTGTAGCTACGAGATCCTGACTGTTCCTATTTTGACCTTAGCTTTCTATGAGCAGCTACAGAGGATCTATGCCTTCTACGTCCTTTCTAAGGCTAACCCCTCCACTAGGCTTGGTCCACTTGCTATCAGCTCTCTACTCCTTGTTTGGGGCCCAGCTCAAACAACTTGGAGAGTTACAATAATTAACACAATGCGTATTGTGAGACACTGATTTAGTCTTGATCTTAGGAGGGAAAAGAGGTATGATGATGTCAATGTAATAGGTATAAGTAAGTTTTGAAAATGGATGAATAGGAAAGTCTAGGTGGATCACACTTGTGGTAAGGTAGTAGGAAGAGCAGCTAGTATTTTATTGGCATGTCAAACACTGATAATGTAATGTGAAATTTGATGCATTCCACTACTGATACTACTTCCTCAGGAAGACAAAGTGGAAATTTTCCATGGACACATTCGGCTCTCCTCTTTAATTTGGCAAACACTGACTTTTTCCACTGTATTTCTACCTAACTGGACTATTGCCATCTGGTATGTGACTCTGTGTGTGTGTGTGTGTGTGTGTGTGTGTGTGTGTTCTAATAGTCAGACATACTATCACCAGTGCTGGTAGCTCACCTTATTTATTTTGGAGCTCAAATATTACCTCTACAGGCATTCTACAAGAGTAGGAATCTGATCACAGTTCTTTGTATATTTGCAAAAGTTTTGCTGTGCGATTACTCAGCTTGACACAAGTAACAGTTCTCCCAAAGTTTCTGTTAGGGTGGTCCTTCTGAGATTGTTCTACTGCTGTAGCTACCAGATTCTGAGTGTTCTTATTTTGACCTTAGCTTTCTACAAGCAGCTACACAGGATCTATGCCTTCTGTGTCCTTTCTGAGGCTAACCCCTCCACCAGGGGTGGTCTGTTTTGCTATCAGTTTTCTGCTCCTTGTTTGGGGCCCTGTTCAAACAACCAGGCTACTGCATGGTACGTGGTAGGAAATTAGCACTCCCTCCTCCATAGGCCCTGCATATTTAATTGCGCTTATCCAGCATGGTTTACAAGTTGCTTGCACTTTTCACTCCCGCAATATGCTTATTTAAAGCAAATATTCAAAGCAAATATGCAGTTATTTTGTATGACAGCAATGTTGAAAGAACTCGAGGCTTCCGAACTGGCAAACTTGGCCCTATCTGTTTACTGAGTTTCAACATCTTTGCTCCTTAACATAAGTTTACTGTTGAACATAAACTTGAAGTTTATGTTCAACAGTAAACTTATGTTCTTTGAAGAAAGATGAAATAATATATGCAAAGAGTCACCACTCCTTGATAGGTTGCTATAGTCCAGGCACTGGATATGCATAACCTTCTCGCCGTATGATGCTTACACATATAAATTCCTTTCATCTTAGTCTTCGGACTGAGTACCACAAACTCACTGAATTTTTCTCAAGTGAATGAGAACTGGCCATGAGCTGGCACCAGGGCCCTGTCTGCTGAGTCAGCTGCCCTGAGTCAGCACTTAAGGCACATAGGACATGAGTCTCTAGAGAGGAAAGATACTGACCCGGCTGGAGTTCCCACCTATCTTGCTGAAAGGCTGCCAGGGCAGTTCCTGGAGGGAAAGCTCATGCAGGGGAGGGAAGAATGTAATTTCTGAACAACTTTACTTCCTTTCCCACTACCTCTCATTACTACCTCCCTTTTCCAAGCTTACCAGTTCACCCAGAAGAGGTACGGACCTCATTCTGAGTCACTCTGGGGTTGTATGGATAGCATTACATTTTTACTATTCTCATAGAATAGAATACTGCAGGTCTACTTTCTTGGCCAAAAAAGAAAAAAAAATCCAACCAAAGCACTGTACCTATTTTATAGTAAATGTTCTCAGAATTTTATAGGTTTATAAAAACTTTATGTAAACAAAAGACCATTCTCACTCTTAGATTTAGGTAAATTAAGAGAATTTTGGGCATCTCCATGTTGATGACTCCTAATTTTCTCAATACTTCATTCCCACTAGCCACTGATTAATGTAGGGTATAGGCCTGTTTTCTTCTCGCCAGGCTCTACTGTTCCTGCCAAATAGAAAGTCCTGGAAGTATCTACAAACCCTTATGATTTCATGCATTGAAACCATTTTAATTTAAATGATTTGGTGGGAGGGGTCACGGGATAGTTATTTGTTGTTTTTTTTTCCAGTATCCATCCAGACTGGTATTTTTCCTTGGCAGCTGTGTATAGCACAGGAGCTGATGAACACAACTCCCATGATGTGTGGAAGGGTCAGTCTTCCCATCTTGCTCAGCTCCTGAAGGCTGGAGTTAATGAGGAGGACTTTTTATGTGAATGTCAGGCATGTTGCAATAACTAGCCACGGCGGAATAGTCATGGCGATTTCCACCACTTGGTTTCTTTGTTTTTGTGGGGTTACTGCATGCTTCATTTTATGAGTATTTTCTTGTTCTTATGTGTGGTTGAACCCATCTATTGGCATCCTGGTCTGGGTTATTTGTATTAAAAAGGAAACGAAGAGGCGAGAAATGGGAAACTGTAGAAAGACATATCACAAGTAATTATTTTTCTCCCTCCACTTTAAAAAAAAATTAATGTACTTAGTGCAGGGCCTACAGGGTTTCACTATACAGATCCGACTCATAGCGATCCTCCTATTTTCAGCCTCCTAAGTTTTGGGATTACACGCCCGTGCCACCATGCCCAGTCTCAGTCTCAGCGCACCCCAGGGGCGGGGCTGGCACGACACACTGGGTCTTCTTCAGATAGATATTTTGATGAGTTTGTGTCCTGAAGAAAAGAGGTTCATAACATAAAAGCAAACGTATTGCGAAAACTCGACTGCCTCTATGGAGATATATGTGGACATCCAAAGCAGGCTTTTTGAGAGCTTTCATTATGCCAAATCGATAAGACTCCATTCCTAAGAAGAAGGCATCTCTCTAGAAATGTATCAGTGTGCTGCAGGGTAGGGGCCCCCATTTAGCAATACAGCCTGGATTCACCTTTACACCCCAGCCACACTTCTGTCACCTCCCTCTGTCCCAGATCCACACCTTAAGATGCCAACCTTAAGATGCCAACCATAAGATGCTCCTTTCTGCCTCACTTTCCGTTTCAAAGCCTGAGATGTGCATCCCAATTTTTTTCCACTATAATTTGAAATCAAATCTTTGAAAAAGGCTGACACTTTCTCCAGAGAGAGAGAGAGAGAGAGAGAGAGAGAGAGAGAGAGAGAGAGAGAGAGAGAGAGAGAGAGACCAGGGAGGCACAGGCTGGGCCTTCGAATTGGCCGGCCCGGTGACCGGCAAGCCCGCCCCCATCCCCCTCGGGCGCTCGCACTCAGGAAGCAGCTGGCTGCAGGCCGGCCCTCGCAGCCGCACGCAGACGCTCCTCGCGGGCAGCCGCCCTCCCTCTCGCCGTCCCTCTCTCTCTTTCCCTCTGCGCGACCGCGTCCACCCTGCGCCGCCGGGGCAGCCCAGAGCCCGGCGCGCTCCGACCCCGGCAACCGTGGCCGCCCCCTCGGCGCTCCCGCACCCTGGTACGCGGCTGGCGGCCTTCCAGGCCCGCCGGGGTCTCCCCTGACGGCACCGGCCAGTGGCAATTAACCCGCATCTCGGGCCGGCCCGGGCCACATCTCCTGCCCGGGGCGAGGAGGAGCGGGGCGGAGCGGGCTGGGCGCAAAGTCGCAACTTAACTTTCTAAACAAACACAGTTGCGCGTGAGCGTGAGCGGCGGGGGCGCGAGCTGATGCCGGGGGTCCGGCCGCCCCCCTGCCGCCGCCTCCTCCCCCTGCAGCCCTCGCGGACGCGAGCGTACGCTCGGCGCTCGGGCCGGGTTTCCGCGCTCCGGCCCGCGGCTCGGATGCGAGTTTGCACTTCGGAAGGCGGCGGAGCCAGCGGAGCGCGCTGACGGGCTGGAGACCCGCTGCTCGGCGCCCGCCCGCTGTCACGCGTACCGGCTGGCCCGGGAAGGACGCGCACGCTGAGCTTTGTTGTGGAAATCCCGGTTACCTGGTAAGTGGATGCCATAGGAACTTTGTTCGCAGGCGGGAGACGGGTTGCGGCGAGGCGCTCGAGTGCGAAAGTGGGGGGAGCTGGGGCTTGGGACACAAACTAGCAGGGATTAGAAATAGCTCTCTGCGCCAGCAAAGCGTTCGGGTGGGTGTGGGGCCACGCGCACCCCAGATTCAGAAGTGTTTTTAGAGACCTCCGCCGGCTGAGGTCACAGCCACCCGCAAAGAGGCATCAGACTGCGTTGTGTCCGTTCCCGAGAGCCCCGGGCGGAGACTACAGAAGGGAAATCAACACGGTGTTAAAGTTTCGCCCCTTAGGAAGAGTTTTTGTGCTTTCTTGTAAACCGCAGGCGCTAGAAGGCTGCGTAGCCAGACCAGGTTGCAGGACGCACGGGCTGGTGCACGGCCCGAATCCAGACCCCAGGTATCTATCTGGGAAGGGGAACTTGGGCGAAGTGGAAGCCCACGGGGTGACGCGAGGTCTTTCGCGCTCACACGGACTGTGGCTGCCTGTTCAGGTTCCACGTGTTTGCTAAGCTCCACGAGGGCTGTTTTGCACCCTGTGCCTCACGCAGGCGCGCCCCATTGTTTGGGGGTCCCGGGCTTGGGGGTGGGCATCCAGTCGGGCTGGCGACCTACGGCCGCCCGGATGTAGCTGCGACCTCCCACGCCACGGGCGCGCAGACACCCTCAGCGCGCCCCGCCGGTTCGTCACCTCGCGCTTACATTTTTATGCGGCCCGACAAAATGTCAGCACTGTTTGGAAAACGTCTGTCTTGGGGACTTTGTCCCGCTCAAGGCTCCAGTCCCTATAAATGAGCCTGTGTGTAGTTTGAAGTCTGTCGGAGCCGCTCTCTGGAAAGCGTGAGTGAGCAGCCGCTCTCCGAGCGAGACACACACCTTGCCCCAAGCGACAGTTCCAAGTTACTCACTGGAGCTGACAAGTCACCTCGAGGACGAGGAAATCACCCATGTGTCTGGAAATCTTGGCCTTGGCGGGTTTGTCATCCTATGAATGATTCAGTTAGGTACCTGGAGGGAGAAACTTTGGGGAAGGGTTCCTGGCTCCGCGGTTCGCGTCCCGGGACTCGGTAGGGGGTTGAGGAGGCGGGGAGTGACGGGGGCGGGGCGCTGCGCCCCAGGGGTGCGGAGCGAGTCTGGGCTCCCGCAGGCTTCCGACTCTACGGGGCGGGCTGCGCGCGCGGGTCCCTTCCAGCCGCGGCGCCCTTTAAGCCTTCGACCTACTCGGGACTCGGTTGCACAACAGGAAGCCGGCACGAGTTTGTTTTGTTTTGCTGCTTCTGCGGACGCAGCCGAAGGTTAGGGGCGGAGGCGGTGGGGAGTGACGGGGTCGCAGCGACGCGCAAGCCAGCGGCCGGTCGCCTCCGCCTCCGGGCCCGCCCCTCGCTCGCTCGCGGCCGGGAGTCCAGGGGGCCGGGGCCTGACCCCCGCGGCCAGTGTGTGGGGTAAGGAACCTAAGAAGGCTGCTCTCCTCTAGCTCGGCCCTAGGCGTCTCTCCCTTGCTCTCGCCCCCCCTTCCCCCCGGCGCCCTGCTACCTTGGGAGCCTGTCTCCAGCTAGGTTTCCCTCCCTTGGGCTTGGCCTCCATCTCTGGGACGCTTAAACCAGGGCCCAGGTTAGGGGGTTACTTCCGGACTCCCTAGGGACTGGATTCCTGAGATTATGGATCCCATTTTCAGACCGGAGGGCCCTTGCACTTTCTTCCCAATCCACCAGAACCACCTTTTTCCAGGACTGCAGCATCTCTTGAAAGTTGGGGCCCAGGACCTTGCAGTAGGTAAGGAGAGGGAAGTTGTGTCGTTCTCAGTGGACCGGTTACCCTCGTGTCTTCTTCCTAGACTTGAGTCCGAATTGTTGAGGTTAGAGGAGACAGGAGGTCACTTACAGTGACAAATCGGAGTGAGTTTAGGGATTTTGCTAGCCCTCCCAGAACCAGAACAAACACTTCGGCTTTCCAGTTCTTGGACTGACGGTGAACTCAAGACAAATGAAGTCTTTTCTGTGCCCCTTGAAAGCTTTGATGAGTCATAGTTTCTGCCTTTAAAGGTAGCTAGGTGTCCTTTTCCTTCTTGTATTGCTATGTCTCGTTCCCACTTTTAAAACTACTTTCCTTTTTAAACTAGTTGGAAAATGATTTTGGGGGGCTACAACACATGTGGTTTAAAATCTTAATCCAAGTTTGCTTACGGTGAGGTGCAGGTGCGTGCAACTTGCAGAAATTTGCAGAAAAACAGTAAAGTTTGTTCTTGAGACGTTGAGGCCATCTTGGAACAGAAGCATGGGATCTTATATGCCACCTCTTGAAATTGAGAATGTGCTGAAGTTAAGATTATCCTAGTGTTTTTAAACTTGTCTTTGCTTTCCACCAGCTCTAATATTATCTTGGAAAGGAAGAATATTTCTTTTCCACTCATTTCCAGAACACTCTTCCTTGTGGTAGCTGGCAGTTTCATATCTTGCTTGGAGGACTCAGCTCTACTTGAATCTCAATAGTTTATTCTTATTTTTTTAATCATTTATTTATTTGGTACAGGGTTGCGCAGCTTAGACTTGTAGTGATCCTCCTGTCTCAGCTTCTTCAGTGGCTGGCATTACAGGTGTGCATTATTAGCATGTCCGATTTTGGTCTTGAGTTTGCCATGCAGGTGAATAGACCACCTAGCTGTCTCCATGGCTCAATAGCCATGGAGAGACTGCTGTGATACATGTTTTCTCCTTGGTTCACCTTTGACCCATTTTAGTTGAGCATCATTTCCAATATCCTGGTTCTACGAGGATTCCTTGGTAATAGTTGAATTAGTAGAGGGTGAGTACCAAGGGTTGTGTTGATTTTCTTGGGAGAAAGTGATCATTCTGTCAAACAGGGCATAGGTTTTTTTTTTTTTTTTTTTTTGATGGATTTCAGGCTCTACCTAGTGGGTGAAATTTCTGCTGGGTCCAAACAAGCAGCATGGGAGTGGTTCAATAAAATAAAATTGAGTCCTGCTTTTATCTATGTGGACAGAAGTGGTCTTTCCTTTATCTTAAGGTGAACTTATTTCCTTTTTTTTTTTTTTTGGTGGTACTTTTTATCAAATTCAGAACTTTGTATTTGCCAGGCAGGCACTTAAGCCACTGAGCTATATCCCTGGCCCCTAATTTAGTTTTCTTGTTGTGTTCCCCCCACTTGGGTCTATATTTTCTGCTAGTAAGCTATGCCTGAGGAATTCTAGTTACAGTGTTCCTCTTATATTGTAGTTATTGATCTTTGGGGTTGAATGTTAATTTGCAATTCTCCCAGACTATGGGAGTACTTTTGAAGGACCTAGCTAAGGAAGCGCCATCCCAGGCACACTCTCATCCCTAAAGAAGTCATTTCCTGTGTTTCTGTAATTACTTTCTGAGAGGATGTTATAGCATAAATAAGGTAGAAATTCAGAGCTTAACTCTCAAACTTTTTTACCCTCTGTGTGTGTGTGTGTGTGTGTGTGTGTGTGTGTGTATGTGTGTGTTACTTGGGATTGAACCCAGGCCTTTTACACTGAGGTGCTTCATCAGCTCTCTTATTTTTCATTTTGAAAAAGACTTTCACTGAGTTGCCCAGGCTGGGCTCAAACTTGCAATCCTGCCTCAGCCTCTCAGGGTGCTGGGATTACAGCCATGTGCCATCATGCAATTTAACTCTATAACTTTTTAAGTATTGTTGGTTTATAGACTCAATCAAGACTGAGGAAAAGAAGGCACATGGAAAATCTGGGCAAGAGAACATGGCACCCTTCTCTTTCGAGGAGGATGAAGCATAAAACCTTTAAAGTAACAGCACATAGTTGGATAACAAGATGCTCAAGTTCCAAGTTTAATTAGTTTTCTATTTCAAGCAGATTTGATCCAAAAATCTTTTTTTTATTGTGATAAAATATGGGTACAGAAAAGCACAACTGTCTTAAACTGAATTGCTTATAAATTGAACACGGGTCAAAATAGCATCGGGATTAAGGAATAGAAACATCTTTTACTGTAACCATTCCAGTGACTGCCCTCCAAGTAATTAATGCCTTCACATCTAAAAGTTACATTAGTTTTGCCTGTTTCTTTGAAACACATAAATGTAGCAATCCAATACGTACTCTGGGGCCTCAATGTAACCACTGAGTGGATCATATAATTTGGACTCTAAAGATGATGGGAACAATTTGGCTTTCAGAAATTGGCCAGGTATTACTTAATATGATAGAATTAAGGAAAAACACTATCAAAACAGAAGCAGTGTTTACTTTGTCTTGGTGATAGTGTGGTTAGAGAGACAGAATATGCATGAGTGGCATCTCTAGTGTGTCCCACTGTAGGCCAGGAGGAAAACCCTGAAGGGCTCCTCCCAGCAGGGTAACCTAGAAAGCAAGGGATTCTCTCTCCTGGGGCCAACAACCCCCATAGCAGAAGAAGCTTGGTCTTGGTATTGACCTGATTATTTGTTTTGCAGCTGTTAGGCGTTCTCATTTTTAGCCAGCATGCCAAGAGAAAGGTGAGAAAGAACTGTTTTGCCTGATGAGTGCAATAGAATTTCTGGACTACTGTTTCCTAAGATCATGGACAAGATAAGGACTGAGAAACAGAACTGCAATTAGAGCAGTTCCTTAGTCCACAGTATGGGGCTCATGATTATGTGGTCATGTTTTATACTGTGCTAAATGTGGGATAGATATATTTTTCAGTTATACTTTACTTTTCAGTGTGATTGGTTAATATGAATAATGTGAAAATACATGAATTAATATACAATAATATACATAAATATATATGTACACATATATATGTGGTATTAAAATGCATATGATAAAAGAGTGTGCAAAATGTAAGTATATAGATAGAGTATATCTACATGAATTATAAGGGCTGGGGAAAGCTCATTAGTGAAGTTACAACTTAGATGGAGATGCAGCATAGGCAGATGACTATAATGCAATGTAGGCAGGTATGAATGTCAGAAGAGGTGTTTAGGGTGAAACATTTACCATTTGTAGGCTCCTTGTATGTCCCAAGAACTGTGCTGAACGTGTGATGTATATTTTCATGTGATCTCACAAACTATGCGCAATAGTGTAAAGACCCTCATTTTATAAATCAGAGACTTGGAGGCTAGAAAGGATCAGGGAGGCCCTAACATAGGTATTGGGAGATTCCGGAGGGAGAATAGGATCTGGATTTTTGAGGAAAAGGACAAAAGGAGGAAAGAAGGGTCTGAGGTAGATCGGAAGGTGATGTGCAGGATGGTCAGAGACAAAGATCCAGTCAGGCTTTTCCTGGGGAACAAAATCAGAGGATTTGTCTGTAAAGCCTGAACCACGAATGATCTCGGTATTAGCTGAGGGCAGACTTGAGAGGAAGAAAGTCAGTGGGGCTGTTTTTGTCTACTGTGATCTTTCATAGACCAGGAGCGTGAAAAGCCTCACATTCCTTCAGGGGCAGCAAGCGTTGCTGAAGTGCGGATGAGCAGATAGGCTCATAGTATAAGATCTAACCCAGTCCTTGATAGGGAGACCAGTCTCTAAGGATCAGTGGTTTCTGCAGTCCAGAGCCAGGTCTGCTGAATACTGTACACAGAAAACCCAGGGCCAAGGCTATGTACAAATTTTTGTTATTCTTGTGTGTGAAGAAATGGATTTATGTTTTCCCAACCTTTTTAGTATGACCAATAAATTCCACTTCTGTCTGTAACTTGGCTGAGTCATTCATAGAGGTTTAAATTTTTTTTTTAATAAATATGTTGTCATGTTGGTTAAGGGCCTAGTCATTGTTGTGGACATTCATACTTTTACACTGATGTCAACTAACATAATTTAACTTGTATAAAACTTCTGTCTGTACCAACAGCTAAAAATAGTGACACTGGCCACTTTCAAGCAATAAGTACACCAGAGGGAAGAAATCTCTGTTACATGGGTAATAAGGAGGATTTAACATGCTTGAATATTGGTTGAAGTGATAAATTTTATTTGTAGATTCTTCTACAGATAGGTGTTCATTATCTTTTGAGAGAATTGTAGTTTTTAGCATTGAAAATAGCTATTTAAACAGACCTAGTATTAGATATGCAGACTTAAGTGACACGGACTCCACTTTTCATTTTGTCATATTTTACCACCCTATAATCTCTTTGTGTTGAGAATGGGCTTGCTCTGTGTTTATTCATCTTTAAGAAAAATCTACATCCAATTATTTTGCTTTTGTATTTTCGAAGAAACCTTGTGTTCAAACCATGGCCATGTGGTGCTCAGTCTCTGCAGTTCAGGTAATTAATTCAGTGGTGACATCATAGGGAATGTGCTCATTTTTCCATTTGAAATCCTGGTCTCAGAATCTAATGGTTAACTCGCATTAAGAACACATTTTGGAAACCGACTTTCTCAAAGACAGCCATGTGTTACGTTAAACTTCTCCCTTTTTGCATTTTGAGAGCAGGATTTTGT